ACTCCAGCAGGTTTCAAACGAACACTTGACAAATATCAGATTTATACAGGAAGTGAGTAAGATTTAGTGAACTGAAAGTACTTTCGGTTTCCATAGTAGTTCTCCATGCCGAATTTTTTCCTTTAAGGGCCTACAGAGATTAAAACTTCAATTAAATAGCACTGACGTGGAAGAAATTCCATTCTTCATTACTAGACTTAATGAAAAGAATCATGTTTTTTATTCTTAAAACAGGAGCATTCGTAATGCTTTACTTTATATAAATGCAGTTACATACAGTTGCACTGGGAACGCAGTGCAACTCGATGCACAACAACATCAAATGGACAGATGTACGCTCCTCGGGCACCATATATACCTCACCAACTACAACCCATCCTTCCTAAGATAATGTGATGAATTTATATCCATAATGCTGTTGAGCAGTTAATATTCACAACTGTCGGAACAGCTGAAATTCCTAAACCTTCCTCACGCGAGGAAGATACCCACAAGTAGTAGAAATCCATTAATTAATGCGTCTAAAGCTTATGTATTTTACTCCCAACAATGACATTGCAGATCAAATGAGATAAACATATCACTGATTTCAAAATAACACATCAATGAACTATAATTCAAGGATTCTGCACACAACAAAATTATGTATGAAAATTGACTTCAAGCTTTGTTTTTTCCCAGGCACTTATAACCCATCCACCAATGACCTGGTTTTTTGTTAATGCGAAGACAATACTTCTGTATTTCCCGATGCGTTGCACTCACTGACAATCTAGCAGATTTTTCCAACTGTGCATAGAAATGACTGTACAAAAGTTAAAGGGCTGTTTTATACTATTGGGATTAACATTTATCAAGTGTATGTATAATCTCCAGTGTACATGTATAACATATTTTGCTATCGACTGTAAATTGTGACTGAATAATACGATTCCATTTCTGTAACAATTTGATGATGCCCGTAAACTGGCCTCCCTCATGTGCTGTACTACGAGAATAAATTTATTTATTTGTATATACAAATAAACTGAAAAATAATGCCCTCCTTAACTCATGAACAACTTAAGCATGCCATTTTTAATGCATTTGTTGAATTTCAGTTCCGATTCCCTTACATTGTTTAGAGGGTGAAGATATTGACGTTCACGGATGGTATGAAGTATACTAAAGCAAAATCTAACACCTACAACTTCTTTTGTATTCTTTCCACGTAGACCGAAGGCAAAGCAAAACCCAATAATTGACCATACAAATTATGAGTTATATTTCGGGACCAAATCGGAGTGCGAGATGGTTCTGAGCTTTGCGCTCAAAATATATGTTAAGCTAGGGTTCGTGCACGAACGAACGAACGTGGCACAATGGAGTACCAAATGGTGTGGATGCTTGACCGGAAGCCTTCAGTTAAACAAGCTTCCGCAAACATTGAGGGTCAGCATAGAATGTTAAGTGATGAAGGCTGTGGCCAATAACTCTGGGGCATTACCTACCGCTACAGTTGTAAATATCATTCTTATTTCCAAGTGTTCAGACCTTGTGTGCTCCTAATGTCTCAGATTACTTTGAATAAACTCCATAACTTACCTCCTACCTTTTTGAATGTGCAATTCGAAATGCTCTATCAATGACCGATGTTAACCTTTGACTTCTACCGACTTTTTCCATGATGTTAGGTGGTTGAAAACAGCCCACAGAAAACCCTGTGCACAGGTTTCCAAGTCACTGTAACTCACCAATAAGGTGTACATGCAATCTTTGGGGATTTAATGCACTCCTTACTCACTCAGGAAGTTGAAACCCTCTGCTGATGTCTCAGAGACTACCTAATTGCCCATTTGTAGCGCGTGCTACTGGACGGTTTGTAATTAACACAATGGTTATCTCTTCCGCCTATAACGTGTCGAGATATCCTTGCTTATAAGCCGGCAGTCTTAATTATGTAACTGACTATGACAGTGTAGAAAACTATAAAATGCTGATGTGCCGAGAACTGCTTGAGGGCTTAAATTTTCTTGACAGTTTTTTAGTAAGGGCTGCTTCCGACAACACGATTAAAGTTACTGAAAAGCGGAGATGGTGTTCCCTGGAAGATCTCTTAAGGTAATTCGAACCTCAATAAGTATGTAAATATGGGGAAAACAAATGCATTCAATTCGGTTGTTGTGAAGCTGCAATATGCATTTATTCTTACAGTCAATCTAATGCCGCCTGCCTCTGTTGCTGGGAGGCTAAATCCTTTGAGACAGTTTCTTGGAAAGCTTGACATTTCTTCTCCACCTCAAATACATTTTAGTTATAAGCCAGATCTCTATGTTATGTGGTGGTTGCTCATAAATCATGGCCGTGTTGTGAGTAGCCTCAGATTACAGTCATCTGAGAACATGATCTGTGATATATGGGATTTGAGTATATAAGGTATTTACGAATTCGATAGTAGTGTAGTGACAGAAGATGAGAGGCCTGATAATTGACCGTTTCACTGAGTAAAACACAACGTATTCTTATACTCTTGGCCACACTTAAATTTGGCTGCGTTAGGGGAGAATAGATTGTCATAGTTGGTTTGAAATAGGCTCAAGGTTAAATTGGCTGTCCAATGAGGTTATTTTATGTCCACAGCGTAAATAAACCCTTAGCCTCTAAACCATATTTAAGTAACAAATACTTCCACTTCTACAGCTTCTGACTTAGAATGTTGACTTCAATTTCAGCAGCTTTGTATCAGTTTGCATTGCATCACAATTTTACCGTAGTAAGCAAGGAAAGTGATCACAGACAGTGTCAGCAAGCAAAATGTGAAAGTTAAGATATTAAATCTAGCTATCATCTTTTATGAGAGTGAGGGAAAACATTTTCCACATATTTTGGTGAAATTATGCTCACCACTAACAACTTCAGTTACTCTTCTGATCATGTTTGGATATATTTGAATTCAAGGCCAAACTGTTTTGAAATTAGTTACTAATGACTGATTGAAACGAGTAGTTGAATAACATTAGCAACAAAGGTGGACGGATTTCAACCCATTGGTTGGATGGCGAACAAGCTTGCCTCGTAACCTGAAGTTTCTGGATTTAACCTATAGTGAGGCTATGAATGAGCAATGTCTAAGATTTCATAATAGGATGGGGTGAAGTTCAACAATAGCGTCCTAGGAGTGCGAACGCTTCAGTGACCTTGAACGCATGCTAGTCGTAGGCTAACTGCACCTATTATTATCACAGCTGAAAAATCAACGCCATTCATCAACTAAGGAGCAAGTTTCACCCAGATAACACTTTTAATTACTGTTTGGACAATGTGTTAATAACTCGTTAAGGTTAGGATAAGGGTTAAGTTAATTATTGGGGTTAGGGTTACGATCATAATTGGGATTAGGGTTACGTTTACTGCAGGATAAGGATTATCATTAGGGTTTGGATTAAGGTTAGGGTTAGCGTTAAGTTTAGGGTTAGGGTCAGGATTAAGGTTAGGGTTTCGATTAGGGATAGATTTATAGTTAATGTCGTTTATTTTAATTTGATTTATCTTCATTTCCCTTGTATGTAGTCGTCGATCCTCTTACTTAAACCATAGTAATTTGACCGAGGGCTTCGGAGAGGACTGCATAGCAAGAGAAGAGAGATGAACGATTAACAAAACAGCACATCTTCAGTCACTTCGGTGAATACATCTATAGAAACTAGTCCAAGTTAGCAACTGATACTCTTCATCATAACCTGGACGTTTTTTTAAGTCATGTCAGAGAAAGACAATCTTTTTAATATGTTTTCACGCATTTTCTCGTGAATATACGTCATTTTTTTTGCAAAAGTCCATATTTTTATGGTTGGTTGGCTGAAAGTCACTCGTGCGTTCGCATCCCTTGGGACGCTATTGTAGAACTTTGCCTAGGATGAGTCACCTTTTCAGTACCCCAGGGTTTTCGTTGGATCTATAAATGACATCGGCTTGTGACGGCTTGCAAAACAATAGGAACAACAATGTAACCTGCCTTTATGTGAGCAGAATGATCATTTAAAATATGCGTAAAGACAGTGAGAACACAAACATTGGAATAATTGTTTTAGCCTAAACTCAACATGACAAACTCGTTAGAACCCTCCAGTGGAATCTTTATGACCTACTTCTTTTAGCATTGATAATATTGTTCTTTGAAAGACAGCAGAAACTTTACGATTAGATCAGCTTACTTGAAAACACAATATCACCTCGATCTTTGTTTTCTCTACGGGTTACTGTACGAACAAGCAATAATATAACTATCAAGGCTAAAATTGTGCGTCAGTGGTTGAAATGTCGCATACTCGGCAACCGTGCGTATGGTGTAGACTGTTTGCATAGCTGACGTACTTCTAAATCTCGCTTAGATGATGGTAGGCTCTGTAAAGAGAGAAGGTTGGATGTCGGACTAGCAACTCCACCTTGTGAAAAAGTGGCAAACGAATTTCAAATCTCAAGCTTGAAACCCAAATGTTCCTCTAGGTACTCAAAAGAATGAAAGAAGGCGAAAATAGTGGTACATCTGAGGATGATTCTTCTCGACTGAACAACTAGATATCTTGGCTTTGCTGGAATTAGCTAAGATCGCGAGAATACGAGAAATAATTCAAGCTACAGTGAACTTACCTCTCATCAGAGAAATAGCCCTATACTATTCCCTATTTTAAATGAAGACTATGATTTTTGTTCGTTTTTCAGTGGTAATGCAAAATATATTATGATATCAGTAAAAGAAGTGTTGGCAAATGAGAAGTAAATGAGAAAATATGACAACATTTGTTTATTTACAAATCTCTTTTATTCATAATATGTGAAGATTACGACTATAAATATAATGCATACTAGGTATGTTTTAATTCACTGTACGCTAAATAAGGAGCATTGTGGGGTCAAGGAAATTTGAAATTTAAATCCATTTGAGTTTTTCCATCACTGAGTATTCAACACTTTATGCTTTCAGTGCTTCAATAGATTGTAAACAGATATGCATATATTTTCTATAACTTTGGAATACTCGCCATAGTTGCTACACCACACATATTATTATAATTACGACGTATTCTAACATAACCATCTTCACCCCAAGTTGTTCCCCAGCTATTTTTAATAATCCAATAATCTATACCATTTTCATGACCATAACCAACAATAAGAACTGCATGATTAACATTTGTAGCTGAGCATGATGAAGACTGATAGATACCAGTTCTAAGGAGAAAAAGATAAAGAGGAAATTAGAATTATGAATGACAAAATGGTCACAATGGTTTAAACAGACAGGTAACGTCAGAGAAGAGGAAAAACACAGTATTCAACAAAAATGGTGATCTTGCAGTTCTAAAACTACACAAGTGTCCATGAATTTCACTCCTACTTAGCGACTTAAGAGGATATACTTTTACAAAGTAATATTGATGAAACTTCGGCTTGAAAAAGTTATGAAAGATGGTCTTATGTTCACCCTGAGGATATTACTTCGAATTTAAGGCTTAGTTGCTCTCACTAACTTGATCTTTGAAACAGAGTTTTGGTTGGTAAGTAAATATCCCAATGTCGTGTTAGATATCATTACCAGTGCAGCTTAATGCTCCATTTGTCAAATGAATTATTGATAATTATAGAGACATTTTGAAGACAAATAGATTGAGCAGAGAATATTCTTTTCCATAACTTCCTCACTAGGTTTCCCATTCCTATGAAAATGAAGCCATCAACATTCTAGACAAAGTGAATGATTTCTATCCTGCAAGAAATTTTCCGATCGATAAAGAAATAAATGATAATATTTTATTTATATGCGTCTTTATAACTAAAGAAAAAGGTAGTGTAGCGGCCAGGCTTATTCGGTTATTGTCTAAACGCAAGTAACTGATCCCTACATTCCATTGTATAGCTGATGAAACTTCGCTGAGACACGTGCTATGAAAAACTTCCCAAAAACAGGGAAAAGACGATTATTCTCTAGTATCAAACTCAAAATTATCTCAACAATGCCGTGAGGCAGCTATAAAGGCAATGCATGGTTTTAAATACAAGACTTGGGGTTCTAGTGGGAAGCCGTGACCACTGGGGTACACCAGGTTGAAGGTGAGGTAGTAACTCATCGAAGAAGACATTGCAAAAGCAGTCGCGCTATGTCATGAATTGGCAGAAGTTAGAACTCATGGGATGGCCATTGGATCGGGTCCCATTGATTTAATGGTATACGAACTAGCTCGCCTTGTAACCAGGAGGTCCTGGTTTTGAACCCCGGCGGGTGCGCACTGATGAGGAGTCCCAAACTAGGATGACACTGCTAGCTGTCCAGTACTCCCTGCAGGTTTTCCAGTGGTTCTGTACCTGATGTCAGCTCATGATGAAATCCACCAATCAACCAAACAAAATCCCTACAAAACCAATACTTGAAAATTAGTTAACCAAACATCAACTGTTAAAGGTACCTTAGAATTGAAGAGGATATTCTCAACAAGGCGGAATCGAGAGCTTTGTCACACACCAACGCTTCATTACTCAACACAAACTCATATCTTGAAACAACAGGTTGTAAATGTAAACACGACCACAAGAAAGTAATACAATTGAAGATTACATGGAGGACTTAATCATGAGCTGACATCAGTTAGAGAACCACTGGAAAACCTGGGAGTACTGGACAGCTGTTTCGTCCTAGTTTGGGACTCTTCAGCAGTACGCACCCACCGGGATTCGAACCCAGGACCTTCTGGTTACAAGGCGAGCTCGTAGACCATTGAGCCACTGGGACCCGATCCAATGGTCCTTGAATTCTAACTTCTGCCAATTCACGACATAGCGCGACCACTTCGCAATGTCTTCTTCGATGAGTTACTGCCTCATCTTCAACCTGCTGTACCCTACTGGTCACGGCTTCCCACTAGAACCCCAGGTTAACTGCCTGAATAGGGCCAGTCACTAGTGAGCATCAGATTAATTTTTCAAGTATTGGTTTTTTTGTAGGGATTTTGTTTGATTGCATGGAGGATTTAATCATGAGCTGACATCAGTTAGAGAACCACTGGAAAACCTGGGAGTACTGGACAGCTGTTTCGTCCTAGTTTGGGACTCTTCAGCAGTACGCACCCACCAATAATTGAAGATTAAACAAGGACAAATGCAAATAACAAAGGTTAAAAATCAAAATACTGTATGCAAATGTCAAATTAATGATACACAATCTAGGAGGAAATACGTATACTCGTTACAAAGTTAGATGAAATATCTTAAGAACTATAAACATTATTAATAGATCGTCAAGGAGAATTTTCAAAACAATCTGTCTATTACAGACAGTACAATAGAAAGGATCATGTACAGAAAACCTAAAGGGACTAGTCGTTATACTCATTTGTCGAGTTTTCTACCTTTGAAATATAAAGGCAATTTAGTTAATGTTTGGTCTGAAAAGATAAGGTAATCTACTCCGAAGACTATTTTGACGAGGAATTCAAGATTGTTTGATGATTACTGAGTGAAAATGGAAGTTCAGAAAAGTTTATGAATTTAATGCCAATGGCAAGCTAGTACATCAACAACTTCTTCGAATCCATTGTTCTTAAAACTGCAGTTTCTTGGTGGAAAAATCAGGCAAATAATAGCACAACGGTTAAAGAATACAGTAAAAACAGCCTTCAATGGAGTCGGAGTTTACTGTCTCTTCCCAATCACTCCAATTTCACATTCACGAACTAAGGATAAACTAATTAACTTCACCTTTCTAACGTGAATCTGCCAGTTTAACTGCTTCTGTGGAAGTAGTTACATTGGATGCATAATTGAGCATGTGCATCGTCAGATTTCTGAACATTATCCTGCATAGTTAAGCGAGAAACAAACAACGTGAATTCGTAACTCTGTTTGAATATAAATTTGATGTTGACAGGACATTAAATGTTATCTACCATAATCCAACTAGTATTTATTTTGCCGGCAAAGTTTAAAATAGCGTCCCAAGGGAGGGGAACGCACAAGTGACCTCAAACTGACCAATCATAAAAATGAGGAATTTTTGCACAAGAAATGACGTATATTCACAAGAAAATTCATGAGAACACATTAAAAAGGGTATCTTTCTCTGAAATGACTTAAAAATATGTCCCAGTATTAATGAGTATCAGTTGCTAAGACTAATTTCTGTACATGTAATCACCGAGATGAAAAAAGATGAGCTGTTTTCGTGAACTGCTTATCTTTCTTATCCTGTCGTGTGGTCTTCCCAGAAGCCCTCGGTTAAATTATTACGGTTTCAAGTAAAAGCATTGACGACTATTTACCAGGAAAATGTGGATAATAAAATAAATTAAAATAAATGAAATCATTTCTGAATCTATCCCTAATCGTAACCCTAACCTTAATCCTGACCCTAATCCTAAACTTAACACTAACCCTAACATCAATCCTAACCCCAATACTTACATTAACCCTAATCCTAACTTTAACGAGCTATTAACACAATGTCCATACCGTACTCAAAAACGTGATCTGGGTGAAATTTGCTCCTCACTTGGTGAATAATGTTGATGTTTCAACGACTAGCATGCGTTCAAGGTCATTGGAGTGTTCGCATTTCTGGGAGGCTATTGACGAACTTCGCAATTTTGCTCTATGATTTTGTCTTCTATATGCAGTTGAAGCCGTCTCAATCCACGAAAAGAAGCTAAACATATGCATTCACTACTTGACTGTAAAGGTTTGACAGTTTCCACTTTCCCCCCTAAGCCTGTTTTTTTTAACTACCTTTAATTGTCTTTTTAATTTGCTGCTTAATTTCGTCTGATATTCAATTTATCATTATATTTATGCATATTATCACTTCCGCATTATTTCAAACTCCTTCTTCTAATGATTTTAACAACTCGATATTGTTTAAGCAAGAATACCAATGTTGTCAATAACAATTATTCTTTAAATATTATGTATATTTATAACTGTTAAACTATATGAGGAAGTAGTAGTGTGATGAGAGCTGTCTGCAAGACAAAATTGTAGACAACAATTTACGTCGGCGTTCACGTCCTAAATCAGGGTCATGAAAAAAACAACAACAAAGCCTAACCTTGGAAAACTCAGCAACCAATCACAGCTGACTTAGCGTGGGCGGAAACGATTAGCAGACATATGGTCTGACCTTCAAAGAAACGGCTATAATGAGATGACAGAATAACTTCCAGTGAAAAAACGACCAATCAGAAGACGCTGATCCCCTGCTAATAATGACAAATAATAATGTACATAAAAATCTATAAATATCTGTTGATTTTCTCAATAAACGATCTGTTGGCTGGCCCTTGTCTTCTGTAGTTACGGTTGCACAAATTCCAATGTTTGGAGACCTAGTTTTAATTCGTACATTTACAAACTGGCTCTAACAACATTTTGTGCTTTTCCCTTGTGATGCTAATACGCATATTCCTTGAGTTTGTTATAAAGCCAATATCCATTAGGTCAGTTGTAGGCCTTTTATTCCTTAGATACTCTTTACCTTTTATTTTACTCAAATATTTGGTGCACCTGAACACATTTTGCGGTAAAAACCGCTAGACTTTTCGATTTACTTTTTGTCGTCAGTACTTACAAGTTAGGTAGAGTACTAAATTATTGGGAACATAGGTAAATTACATTAGGTAAGGAGTGGTAAAGTGTAGCCTATCAACAGCACAACCAATGCCTTTACAAAGTTTTAGAAAACAGTACTTCTACTCAACCTTTTTATCTTCTAATTGATAATTATGCTTTACTAATCTCTTAATCTTAATGTTCTCTGTTAGATTTATCTCTAAAACAAACTTTGAAGAATAATCTTCCCTTGATATTTTTTCAAGTTTAAATCACTCAGGTCTCAGAATTAGACTATGAAAAATTCATTAATGCATGAGTTAATTTCAGTAATATTAAAGCTTTTATGATACACATTGATGTTGCTTATTTGTGATACTTTTAGTTAATTTCGATTTTGAGAAGTATTTTTTTCAAAAGAATGGATACTGAACAAAGAGTACTCTTTTCGATAACTTCATCATCAGGCTCTACAGTTATACATACATTATAGTGAATGAATGAATGAGTGTTATGAACAAAATTAATGCTGTTTAAATAACATCGAATCAATAATATTGATAGATTACAGCTCAATAGCATCAACGCAAAATAAGCTGAATGTCAGAAAAATTAGGAAAGATAATATCACAAATTCA